CAAATAAAGAAAATTATAGACCAATATCATTAATGAATATCGATGCAAAAATATTCAATAAGATCTTAGCAAACAGAATTCAACAATAAATCAAAAAAATTACACACCTTGATCAAGTTGGTTTTATTCCAGGGTTACAGGGTTGCTTCAACATACACAAATCTATAAATATAATATGTCACATCAATAAAATAAAATCAAAGACCATATGATTCTCTCAATTGATGCAGAAAAAAATCTTTGATAATATCCAGCATCCTTTCATGATAAGAACACTTAAGAAAATAGGCATAGAGGGGACATTTCTTAAACTGATAGAGGCCATCTAGAGCAAATCCACAGCCAATATCATATTGAATGGTGTAAAATTGAAAATATTTCCACTCAGATCAGGAATGAGGCAAGGATGCCCACTGTCTCCACTGCTATTTAACATAGTAATGGAAGTCATAGCTATCTCAATCAGGCTTAGCTATCTCAATCAGGCAAGAGAAGGCAATAAAGGTATCCAAATAGGGTCAGAGGAGACCAAACTCTTACTCTTCGCTGATGATATAATCCTATACCTGGAAAATCCCAGGGACTCAACTTCAAAACTCTTAGAAGTGATCAAGGAATACAGCAGAATCTCAGGATACAAAATGAACACTTACAAATCAGTAGCTTTTATATATGCCAACAATGGTCAAGCTGAAAATATAGTCAAGGACTCTATTCCTTTTACAGTAGTGCCTAAGAAGATGAAATATCTGGGAATTTACCTAACAAAGGACGTGAAAGATCGCTATAAAGAGGACTATAAAACTCTGAGAAAGGAATAGCTGAAGATGTCAACAAGTGGAAAAACATACTAGGACTGTGTTATAAGGACAAAACAGTATAACTGAAAAAGTCTGTCTTACCATGCTCATGGCTGGGAAGAACCAACATTGTTAAAAATGTCCATACTACCCAAAGCAATCTACAGATTTAATGCAATCCCTATTAAAGCACCATTGTAATACTTTAAAGAGCTTGAAAAAATAGTACTTCATTTTAAATGGAATCAGAGAAAACCTTGAATAGCCAAGACATTACTCAGAAATAAAAATAAAGCAGGAGGGATTATGTTACCAGACCTCAGACTATACTATAAATCTATAGTGATCAAAACAGAGCATGATACTGGTACAAAACAGAGAGGTAGATCTATGGAACAAAATAGAGAACCAAGAGATGAACTCAGCTACTTATCATCATCTGATCTTCAACAAGCCTATCAAAAATATTTAGTAAGGGAAAGACTCCCTATTTAACAACAAATGGTGCTGAGTGAACTGGCTGGTGACCTGTAGAAGATTGAAAGTGGACCCACACCTTTCACCATTAACAAAAATTGATTCTCACTGGATTAAAGATTTAAACTTAAGACATGAAACTATAAAAATACTAGAAGACAGTGCAGGGAAAACACTTGAAAAAATTGGCCTGAGAGAATATTTTATGAGGAGGACCCCCTGGGCAATTGAAACAACACCAAAAATACATTACTGGGATCTGATCAAACCAAAAAGCTTTTGCACAGCCAAGAGCATAGTAAGTAAAGCAAACAGACAACCTTCAGAATGGAAGAAGATTTTTGCAGGTTATGCTTCTGACAAAGGTCTGATAACTAGAATCTACAGAGAACTCAAACTGATCAATAAAAAAGAACAAATAACCCCATTTCTATTTGGGCACAAGACTTGAACAGAAACTTCTCTGATGAAGAAAGGCACATGGCCTACAAACACATGAAAAAAATCCTCATCATCCTTAATCATCAGAGAAATGCAAATCAAAACCACTTTAAGATATCATCTAACTTGTGTAAGATTAACCCACATCACAAAATCCTAAATCTATACATGTTGGCATGGATGCAGAGAGAAGGGAATGCTTCTACACTGCTGGTGGGAATGCAAGCTAATAAGACCATTTTGGAAAGAAGTTTGGAGAACACTCAAAGAACTAAAAGTAGACCTACCATTCTATCCCATAATTCCTCTACTAGGTATATACCCAGATGATCAAAATTATTTTACAACAAATACATTTGTACCAGAATGTTTTTTGCAGTCCAATTCATAATAGCCAAGACATGGAAACAGCCCAAGTGCCCATCAACCCATGAATGGATTAACAAATTGTGGTATATGTACACCATGGAATACTATGTAGCCATAAAAAAGATGGAGAC